GACTAACAATCAGATATGGATGAGTCAGATAGCCATTTGTGCAACCCAACAGTCTTTTCATTGGAAATCTTCATTGACACAAGTGGAGATGGTAATGATGTCATGCACACGCCATGAGGGAGAAAAGAATCCTTGTGTTGTTCTGACCAACACAAGTTTAAAAGTTAGATAAAAAACAACTGTAACTGCATATACCCATGATGACCGATACACCTGATTATAACTTGTACATAAGGAAAAAACATTCAACATCTGCATTCTAGTGGGATGAGGGAAAGATGTTCAGGGGGTTAGGGTTTGGGGCCTTTACATTTAACGATGCATCAGTAAAAAAACAGACACAGAGCAGACGGATACATTCACCTGGTAAGGGACATGTAAATGTGCTTTAAAGCACCACTGAGGCCTGCTCACAGCCTGTTGTGGTGTAGTTTAGAGCCAAGTGGAGGTCTCCGTTCCCTTTTCCCTGCAGGGCATCCCTATAAATCAAGTTGGAGAGCTGGAATTTAAGTGCAGAAGCACCTTTTGTGCTCTCTCTTCACTGCTGTGCTGCTTCCTTTATAGCTCCTCTCAGACATGAAAAAGATGTTCAGAGTTGACTGAAATTGGAGCTGCCCATTGCAGTTAAAAATACGTGTAAATAAAATGTCTTCACTTATTTTGGGGGCTTGAAATTGGTTGACTTTAATCAATTTCAAAATAGAATTGCCAGAGTTATTCCGTAGATTTCAAATAGAAGAGAAATCTCTTGGGGTCAAAAGGTTTTAGTGTGAGCTCCAATTTTGAGATAGTCAACCGTTTTAGATGACTCATGTCTCACCCCATAGCCATTGGCACTACACTTTACAACCCACAACATTTGTAGCCCAGCCTTAAAAATGGGATAAAAGCCAAGGTTGTAATTCTCTGGTTAATAATGGGGGGGCTTAAAAGAATGTGATTCTGGGATATTAAAGGGAGCTCAGCGTGTTTTAAAACTGACACAAGCAGGGCATGTTCTACTTTGAAATGATTATTTATAGTCATATGTCATTAAATGTGACATTTATTTCAGTGCAGTCAAGTTCTTCTGAGCAAATACTGAAAATGGCTCCACTAGCAGTGAAGGTCAGGAACATAAATGGGCTTTGATCGCTCACTGATTTTTCCATGATGTCTAAAAAATCAATAGGATGCCTTTGATTTTAAACCAGCAGTGTAGGGGGGTAGCAGTCAATAATGTGACCCATTAACACATGAGGAGCGCACACATTCCAGTGTGTTTGACGGATATTCGCTACAGGACTGAGGGGCAAACGGTGACCGCTTATTGATTGGTTCAGTCACCTCAGCTCATAATGGTATACGAAATGACTGCAACATGATAAAGGTCGCTTGCGTCGATGATCACTTGATCTTGATTCCGCAACAAATGTTTGATAACAGCTGCTCCACTATCGCTGACTGACTACAAAGACATTTGACTTTTAGAACCAATTATCCAGTAAACAGATTCACATGAAACATAAGCTGTGAAATGATGATACTGAGACTGCAGGAAACTTTGGTTGACCCAGGTTAAAAAAACAAAAACAAAAAAAAAAAACAGAATTTTTCCGCAGATTATACAACAATAGACTTTTTGTATTGCAAGTCAGTGGCCAGCATATTCGCCAAGGCAAGTCATGTGCACCTCTCAGCGGCAAACAGGTGATTCTCCCACCCTCCACTCCGCAAACATTTGAACGAGGATGAGTCACCACATTACTTCACACAGGGCTCTAGAAGCGATGATTAAACACTCAGCCTTATCAGGTCTCAGCAGCGGTGATGTAATTTAGCCCTGTAACTGAAAGGCAAACACACCGAGAGAAGTACAAGGTGTGTTTCAGACAGGCACTGACCCTGTGGTGAAGTAGCTTCCTGTTACCTGGCGGGCACGCTCGCAGACTGTAGAGCGCGGTGCGAAACGGGCCGTTAAACTCTATCTTGTCCTCTATGTTATCATAGCCCGAGCCTAGGAGACTGTTTGCGCTGCTAACATGTAATAAGTGCAGTTAAGGGATCAGCACCGAGCGTTTGATACCAGCGTTTGGTGTTCTCCGGGCTGAACATGTGCTCTGTTGTCTTTGTAAACACTATCCTCAACCGTCACGCTCCATCCTCTGTGTGCAAACAAGCCAAAGGTCGGGACGAAATCTGACCCTCCGTGATGTAATATGGTTAACTTTAATAGCTTTTTTTGTTTTGTTTTGTTTTTTCAACAGTCTAGGAATGTGAGAATGCACTGAGCCGTGGCTGCCACTGTAATGAGGAAAACCTCACAGTAAATCTTTAGAACATCTCGCTTCCTTGACTTTGGCATAATTTGGGGTTATGAGGAAGAAGAAAAGTATGTGTTTGTTTGTGTCTTGACTGTTTTGACTGTATGATTGTAGCCATGTAAGTAAGAATAGGAGAGGTCTGTACCTTTTTGTTTGCTCTGGAAGGGCAGTGTCTAAATGCCTTGTGTAAAACTAGGGTAAAGTGGAAATGACATGTCATATTTGGTGAATATTCACTTTGTCTTAGATAAAGGTTTGACAGATAAATCCATCATTATTTACACAAAGTTTAATCATACATTTTGATCGGAACCTTTAAACGAATCATATTAGCCACTTCCTTGAGATAAAGTCTAAATTGTTCATCAACTTACTTATCAGCTCTAAATGTTAATTAGAAATTAAAGATACATTCTCCCGGAATCTGTCACGCTCTTCTCAAGTCAATGGATCTCATTTCCACTGACAGTCTCCACCCAACGTGTACAGTTGCAGCATTGTGTTGAAAAGAAGAGATGTTAAAGAGCAACTAATGTGCTCTGGCTCAGACAATGCGGAGGATTGTGTGCGCCTGTGACGTGTTAATCTTTTTGACAGGTGTGTAAAGACTTGAGGCAACAGATTCACCTCGCTGGAAGGTAATAAGATTGCCTCACAACCCCTTTTAAGGTCACTGTCATTCAGGGTTGTGCAGATGTGGAGCGATGCGTCCATCGGGCAGCCTTTTTCTCACCGCAACCGCAGTGGAAATTTAATTACGTGTGTTAATTATGTTTGTGTTTGCCAGACAGCTCTGTTGGCAGGGGATGTTCTGGAAATTAATCAGGACTGGAAGACACAAGTGGATCTGTTCGTGAACTGTGGGTTCATTTCTTGCAAGTCAAACTTAGTGTCACGAAGACACTGAGCTTTGAAACGTTTGAGCTGAAGGCCTAATTTCACAGGCTGTGTCCAATAGCTGAAAGGTGAAACGGATTAGCTTCCGAACAGACATCTTGTGTGCAACTAGACATCAAATACGCAGTTTTGAATATCTGAAGAATTTCTTAATTCAGCGAACCCCGTGAAAATGCACACAGACCCGTGAGGCTTTACTGGCTTCTTGATCCTTCGCTCCTTTTGAAGCCACCCGTTTTGGCGCCCTTTGTTGTGTAACTCAACACCACGCGGCCACACAAGAGTCAAGCGTGACACAGAGGGTAACATTTGATCTCGCTTCTTAAGGGCCTGTGCAGTCAAGCTTTGTGTAAACCTAGTAGCGTCTCCTGAACCTGGAGGAAGGCTGAGTAAACCCAAAGGGGGGACCTTAGAAAACAACAGGTGGCTGGAGGAAAGCTCAGCTGCTGAACGTAGGCGGGAGGCGAGCCTGTGCTTTGGTTAGCGGCAGCTGCAGGTACGGGCGTCAGGTTTCCGGTCTAAGAGGACACACAGAAGCTGACTAACAGTTGAGCAAATTTGCCTCTTCGACAAAAGTCCTGGGGCGGCACGGTGGTGTGGTGGTTAGCACTGTCGCCTCCCAGTAAGAGGGTTCTGGGTTCGAATCCCGGGGGAACCAGGACCTTTCTGGGTGGAGTTTGCATGTTCTCCCTGTGTCTGCGTGGGTTCTCTCCGGGTTCTCCGGCTTCCTCCCACAGTCCAAAAACCTGCATGTTAGGCTGATTGGAGGTTGGGGAAATTGCCCTTAGGAGTGAATGTGAGTGTGAGTGGTTGTTTGTCCTTGTATGTCCTGTGTGTGGCCCTGCGATGGACTGGCGGACTGTCCAGGGTGTACCCTGCCTCTCGCCCGTTGACCACTGGGATAGGCTCCAGTTCCCCCCGCGACCCCATGAGGGAATAAGCGGTATTGATAATGGATGGATGGATGGATGGACAAAAGTCCTGCGGTGCTCCTCTCTAACAGCCCACTGACTCCGAACGAGCCCCAGAGCTCATTAGAGGGAGCTCTGCGGCTGTGGAGCAGCTGTGCCCGTCAGACAGATGGGATGCCATATCTTCATGCACAGCTCCGTTTCTCCGTCTCCACTTTTATTCGGTCTCAGATGACAACAGATTTTTACTGCGGTGGGACCACAAGAGCTGTTCCACTTTTTTTTCTCAGCCTTAAAAAGTCTCGGTCCACGTCCATTCCAGTTAACTGCCGCCGCAGCTGTCTTCCATCGATTTGCCTCTTTTAAATGTGACCCGCGGCAAGAGTAATGCGTTTGCCTGTGATATAGAAAATTGAAGTGGATTGTTATAAAGCAGATGTCAAACATGCTGTAACAGCTGGTGCGCGCATGAAGGTGGCCAAATTTCCCATTGCACACCGTTTTCTTTTTTTTTGTGATGATTATAATCCCAAATCGAGTCAGTTTTGCACAAAAAATTAGATCTAAAGCAGAATGTGGGCTACTTTACACAAACATGAAACAATTAAGCAAGACATGGCTTGATAAATGACCATTAATGTGCGACTTTATATGAGATATGCATGAGAAATCTCTGACTAAATTTTCTAAATAGAAACAAATGCTGCTGTGAAACTGTAAATGCTGCATGTTCGTGTTAATACATTTGACTTACGAATGTCAGCAAGGTAACGGCTTTAACCTTTTTCATACCGCATAGATATGAAATGAATTTTTATAGATGACTGTTTATAGTTTCAATTTTGATTATGAAGTTGTATTATACACATAAAATAGAGAGATGAATCAACAAAAAAAAGTTGATCAAAAGAAGAGAAATCTGCCCTTTTCACTCAAATTAATTTCCTTTCTGACTTTTCAATATAACAGCTTTGTGTTAATTCAGGAATGCGATTATTGCTACTCTTACATATTTGGCTGTACATTTTAAAGTAAACATATTACAGACATGGACTCTTGATTGAATCCAAAGGTCACTTTTATTTATTTCAGTGTGAATAGACTCCATACCGCCTTTGACAGTACTACAAACACATTTAAGGTAATGACACAGACTCTCTCGATCTGGAGCTAAAACCACACAACACATGCCCAATGACTTCACAGGCTAAACAATGAATTACATTATTTTGGGCAACCAACGAAGTCCAACTGGACCTGGTCACATGAATAATCATCTGACTAGTTGAGCAGTTTGACTCACTTGTTGATAAAAACCCCAAAAGCTTTTCATTTACTTCTCAATACAGTACTGATATGAAGTGAACATTTTAACACTTATAAAACAAATACAGTGACATAATACCTTAGATATCAGCTTTAGCAGCACTATAGTTCACTGAATAAGTTTCAATCTGACTCAAACCACAATCCCAGGGTTTCACATCTTTTCCTTCAGAGCAGTTTGAACTGTGTATTAACAGTTTTAATACTGTGCATTTACAATATCACTCTCGAATCCAGTGTCATGGAATGCTTCACATAATGAAAACTCTTAACTGTATTCCGTGCAACCTCCTCTCACGTGTTCCTGCCGACGGGCATTCATAGATCACAGTGTGCAGACATACGTTGAGCAATGAGCTTCTTCATGATTTCAGTGTGGATACTTTCACAGATGAACACAATCACCCTGCTGTGAGATACTGCTAGTGTGAGTCCTCCCTTTGCTAGTCGTGGCCCACCAGGTATGTGTGTTGCTACTTAAGTTTCAGTCTTTGTAGAACTTTTGGTGCAAGTGTATAAAAATACTGACTATAGTGTCTGTGTGTGTGTCTTTTTCTATGATAACACAGTGAGTGTGACGGATCCTTTGGTCCTTTTCAGGATGCCGACAGCCTCTTCGTGAGTGACGCCCTCCAGAGTCTGCCCGTTGACCGCCATGATCTGGTCTCCTCGCTTCAGACGGCCGTCCTCTGCTGCTGCGCCCTGAGCTCACACACAGGGACCAGTGGCTTAGGTTCACGTGACGGTGTGTGAGGATTCGGCAAGTGTTTCCCGCTCGCCCTGCTTACCTTCCCGAAAACTGTTTTGACATAAATTGGCAGGTCTCCATGGGGGCTGCTGTGCCCTCCGACGATGCTGAAACCCAGTCCGTCGGGCCCTCTTTCAAGAGTAATGGTCTTACACTGAGGTGGCCTGAAGGAAAAGAGTGAAGCGGTTTGTGATTTAGTGAAATGGGAATGTGACATTTTTTCTTCCTCTGTCCTTAACATTCAAACTTTTTCTGTTTCCTATAAAACAGAAAGTGGCTTTCGCACCACGGTTAACTCTCTTATCGTATGCTTATCATAAAGGCTTTGTACCCAATGTCATCCTGGAAGATGCAGCTGGGTGTCAGGCCCCCGCCCGCCTGCTCCTGAGACGGGCCGGTCACCGTGGTGTCGCCACCTGCCACCACCTACGGAAGCGTTCACACACAGACAGACAAAGCCACGCTGTTAAGATGTTCCAGGCTCGATTTACAGTCAAGATAAACAGCGATAGCACGATGGCGGTGAGGGCGCCAAGTTTTATGGTACTTCAAAGTCTGCCACTGATACTCTGCCCATTTGCAGGAAAGCAGCTCAACACTGTCTGAAGGTTTATCCCACACAAACATGGAAGCAGAGAGAAGAACTGGGAGGTGTGTGCTCTGGGAGACCTGCAGCTGTATTTTGCCCGTGGCGTTCTTGAGCAGACTGACAGCCTGTGAGTGGCTCATTCCCTCAGCGGAGGTACCGCATATGCTGACAATTCTGTCTCCGATCTGAAAAAAAGAAGAAGGAACACAGTCATGCAAGTTTGGCCAATCCACACAAGAAACACTAGTGGGCACAATCTGCAGGGATTGTTCTACTCCTGCTGTGTGCTAGTTTTCTGTTGCTCCCACCCAGTTTCGAGCAAACTGTTGTTATGAGATTTCCTTGGCTCCGTCATGGTTTTCAGTGTTTTGTAACAGCGGCTAACCCCATGTGCAAAATCCTTTCTTCATGTTATACAAAAGCAAAATTAGGTTTTCGTTCAGCTTAGTCATTTCACCATGCGAAGCCCCCATTTCTCATTCCCACTGAAAATGTAAAGTAGCGTAAATATATCATTCCAGACTGCTATTCTTCATTTCAATGAGCCTTTTTGTCGACTTCACAATCTAAATGCAAGAGTGGGAGATTTATCATCCATGTTAGCAGTGGCTTTTGTCCTCCTCCAGCCTGTCAAACAGTCTAACAATTGGCAGTGTGTCTGAGAAGACCAGAGGCTCCTGACCTTTGGAGGCCTTTGAGATTCACAAACAGGGCCAACTGAAGAGGAGTGCGACTGTGGTACATAATTGAGATTTTTCACATTAAATCCCCACTTAAGAATTGCATGTATGCAAAATCCACATTTTACACTTTGTTGAAGGTCAGATACTTTGCAGTAGGTGAATCTTTTACCTTTAACTGAGTCTGAGCAGCCAGACCGACTGGATTCATCATGGCGATGAAGATGGGTATATCGCCCAGAGGGCTTCCCACCCCGCCTGCTATGCTGATACCCAGAGAGTCATTGGGACCTTTGGTGAACTCAATGGTTCTGATATCCTGATTTTCTGAGGCTGTGAGGAAGTTAAGAGCAGACACACTGTTATTGTGGATTGTTCCGCATTTTCCTTTCACGTACATTAGCGTTCTGACGACATGCCCCACAGATTGATATCTTGTTTTGCCATACTGCGATCTCATGAGACTTACATTCTTGACTTTTGCTTAGTGTCTCAGGTTCTCCTGGAACGTTCCCCGCGTCCAAACAAGACATATGTGTCGCCTTGGAGCTGCCCGTTTCACTCATCTGACAAGATATTGAGAACTGTTTTAGAGCTACATTAAAACGGATCGAAAAACATAGAAACGTAGAAAATTACCTGACTGCTTTGAGACAGCCTTCTTTCAGAGTGAAAGGGACCGGCCTTAAACCGGCCAACTTCCATCTTTATGGACCCCACACAGCACTGCAGCACAAGGCACAGCATTATGTTCCCTGGTCAGTTTCTGATTTCTATCATCTAACATTAGCTGTTCAGCTAAGTGTGATGCAGTTGTTCACCATGTTCTATTTTCAAGCGAGGATTGAAATACCTTCAGTAGTGCGGCCACAGCCTCCTGAGTGGCTGTCCTCACATCTTCACCGTTTACTGACAGAATCTGGTCACCTTGCATCAGTTGACCGTCAGTATCCACCAAACCGCCTTTTACAATATCAGACACAAACACTCCTGTGTCATTCCTGCTGGCAAGATAAACACATCATGTTGGATAGGATAGACCTGATTCTGCTGTTAAGGAACAAGCTAATGCATCTTTGTGCAACTTCACCTAATGAGAAACGCGTCACTTATTTGACCACATTTAGTACAGAAAATATGTACCTGATCTTGACGTTATTTTTTTTGTGTTTTTTTTTTCTGCAAAAGCTGCATATCCGAGGCAGCAATCTCCACGTGGACAAAGACTGACAAAAGCAGACACTGTGAAGAAAGACTGCTCCATCTCACATAATCTTCCCTGCCAGAGACACTTGGCTGTCACAAATCCTCACCACTAACTACTAGTTTGAACTTTCCTTTCAGCCCAGAGTTTTAGTTTGTACATGCAGTTTCCAGACTTCAGCGCAGTTACATATTTTTCCACATAAGCAGCAGAACCACTGTGATAGTGGCATAAAATCACCACTATCTTAAAAATTGAGCTTCAGGCTGTTGCTAGACCAAAGTCCAATCATTCAAATGTTGTCAAAACAGTCACTCATGTTTCCACTGCAACACAAAGCCACTCTGAAGAGGTTCTTAGCTGACAACAGTGTTTAAGGTGTTATCAAAGCAGGTAAGCAACAATTCTACTATTAAATTAGACAAACAATTTTTGGAAGTTCTTTCCCTGTGGTGTTTGCAATTTCAAACTTGGAACTCTTTCAGGGTTATAATTACCTTTAAGACCAAAAATAAGTTAGGAAATATAATATAAATATAATATATGGTTTGAGCATCGCGTGGCAAACCAGGCTTAATTTCTGCTCCAAACATCAACACCAAATACCAAAGAGAACAATGTGTCACTATGATTTCACACAGCTTTGGAAGCATTCTTCAAATCCAACTTCTCTCTTTACCTCCTCTACTCCATATGGGTTGAGAAAGAATGGATTACCTCTGGTCCCGTGATCTGCATTGAAAAAATGTAAACGACACAGTTACAACCTACATTGACTCTAACGTGTCTAATTTTTCTCAAAGCCACACAGTCTGCCTTATAGGTTGCACTATGGTGTAAACGTCTCTCACCTCCTCCCTACGATGCTCAGGCCCAGGCCCTGACCGGGCCTCTTTTGCAGCTCCACCGTGAAGGAGTCCCACAGGTCTTCTTCTTTGTACTGGGTTTCATCCCTGTAGACCTTCAGCTGAACCCTGTGTGGGGTCTGCCGCAGTACATTGATGGCTTCATCATGAGTGGCTGCTCGCAGGTCAATGCCATTCACCTTTGGAGAGACACGAGACCGAAAGAGAGTTTTCCATGAATACAAGAATGTGATGGAAATGTTATTTTTATGAGCACATTGTGAAGTAAAATAGCTACTCTTCATTCTTGGCATCAAGTAACTACAGGATAGGATTAAAAAAAGCAATAATGACTCTAATTTAATGCTAAAACAGACCTTTTTGGAGATACCAGGACTGCAGATATAAATGGAAACTGGATAATAACATTTAAATCACAGGGTGATGTCAGAACACTTGAAAATAACTACAGGGAAGCCTTCCCACAAAACTCAACTTGTGTCCAGCTTTTTTTCCCCGTTATTACCACATTAAAGAGGGAAATACCACATTAGCCTTCTCCATGGATATATAAAGAATGCTTTCCCATAGCAGCTAATGGCTTGGCTGTGCACTGGGAAACTGCTCTTTTCCCTTTGCCTCTGACCTTATTTTCTAAACACCAGCTTGGCTTGAAGACAGAAATGAATGGTGGTGGGTAATTAAGTCATAATGGTGAGTGTACGTGTTTGTGTGTACGTGTGTGTATGTGTGTGCGCGCCTTTCAGTTCAGGACTACTGACCCGGCTACAATGACCACACTCCTGAGCTCCACCCCTCTGTGACAAAGCATGAGGTCAAAGCGAGGACAGATCCAAGTTGAGCCTGGCTACTTAAAAAGTACACAATACGTCCTACTCTGCCTTTGATCATTTCATTATTTTATCATTTTTCCTCAAAATAAAAGCAGTTTGGATAAGGTGCTGTGCCTCAGTGGTTTCATGGCTCAGACCTGTCACAGCAAACTATTTGATTCTTATTTTCAGAAACTCAAGCTTTCATGTTTAAGCTCCTCAGGCACGTCTCCTTGAAATGTTTTCAGTATCGTATCTTTCTTATCTAGGTCAAATGTGTTGCTCATTATAATGCACGGCACCTCCAGGATTTGGTCTCCTGCCCACAGTCTGCCATCTTTGGAGGCTGCTCCTTCTTCATAAACCTCATGGATAATGATGGCTCCCTGGGGAGAGAAGAAAACAGAATGAGTGAGTAAAAGACAGGGGAGGAGGGTGCAATCAGAAAGTGTTGGAAATAAAATGAAAACATGAAGTGTTAATCCTGTGAACATAATGAGGTTAAAAACCTCCTGGAAAAAAGACACATTTCTTCATAACTTTGGAGGGTGACTTCTCTGTGGATGTGTGTGTTCCTGAGTTTTAGTGTTGCTTTTCTGTGCTCCAGTGTGAGTGTCATTTGGGGTCCAGAGGTTACATTCCAGGGTTAGATATTGTCTGCTGCGGCCAAGGCCAGACAAAGAGTCGCTGCTCACAAGCCTGAGTGAGCAGACTCAATAAATAGGCTGAGAGGACGGCGGCAGGAGGAGGACGGCTGTGACAACACCGTTTCCTACATTCTTGAGCCGCCACGACTATTTCAGATCTTAGTTATACTACAAGAAAAGAGGTCTGTAGACAACTGGCAGACTGTCCCTTTAAAACAGTTGCATTCTTGAAATGTGTTTTGCTCGTCTAATCACACTCCTGTGATGGTTGGGAAGTTACAAATTAGAAACCATGTTTTTGTTTAAGTGGAGCATAATTTACAGACTGTTTCCTACCAGCAGGGTGTCACAGCCTCCCACGATGCTGAGGCCCAGGCCTGTGCGGCCCTTTGAGATTTCGATGGTGGTCTCACAGCCAGGGATGATGGGACAGGTCTCTGGGTCACAGGCCAGGGTGGAAGGGATGGATGAGCAACTAAAACCTAAACAAGAGAATGAAAAGGAAGTAGGATGCAAAAAAGTTCGATGAGGTCTGATGAAGTCAGTTAGCTTCACTGTACTCTGAAAACAAGGACTCACTGGTGGCGTCCTCTGCTTCTGGTTGAGCTGTGGTTGTTATGGTGATGCCTGGCACGCTGGTGAAGCTGGTGGACACTTCTTCCGAGCAATTCCTGTCCTCACATGTTGACTGTGAAGAGGAGAAGGAGGTGGGGGTCTCATTTGTAGAAAAAGTTAGCTTCACTGGACCTTTGGCTTTTCTCAGCAGAGAATTGACCTAAAAGACATTTAGAGACTTTATTGTTTTGTGAACTTTCTTTTTTTAAAAGCACCTTCTAAAATGTTCTGTCATGAGACCGGATCTCAGTTTGCTTTTAGTGACATAGCATACCTTTTCAGCACTGTATCCCAACACTGGTTCACCATTCACAGCTAAGAGTTTGTCCCCCGGTTTCATGCAGCCTTCCTGTATACAGCACAACAAGCCTTTGATTAGCATACACAAAGCACAGGGAGGTGGGTTTTCTTTCATGTGAGAAGGGCATACTTTTTCAGAGTGTCCCATCACTTCGGAGATACTCTGAATCTCCACTCCGCTATCCGTGTTTCCCTGAACAAAAGCAATGCCAATTCCTCCATCCTCCTGTTGGAGAACAGCCATTAGAGCATAATTACAATTTTGAGAGAATCTATCATTTATAAACTTCATGGCCGCATGAATATGTGGAGCTATGAGTACAAAACCTTGTATCCAGCCCCAGCTTTATTCATTCCAACTTCGTCAATTTCTCAACTTTAGTCTCCAATGAAAACTTAAATCAGTGAGCTATATAAGTTGCTTTTTTAGACATTCCTCATCGTTTGCCTTCTGTAACTTTAGAGTGGTTTCGCATCCAGGTGTTTCAAGCAAGGCTGTGCTTGTATTTTCTTCAAGTAGTGCTCAAAGGATCAAGAATGACCTTTGAAAAGCCTCCTGTAAAGCTAAAAAGTAGACTCCAAAGAAGATAAAAATCTGTTCTCTCATTTATTGTTTGAGTTAAGTGAACCTTGAAGTCCCTTTGGAACTCCGTTATCCCATTCACTCATCATGTTGTTGACTTAACTCTCATTTTAAAACTCTGGGGCTCCTTTTTTCTGTCTTTGCAGCTTGTCAAACTTGACTGCTCCTGTGTGCTCACTGGATTTCTCTGTCATATCCTGTGGGGTCTTTTTTATGTACACCTCCCTCATTACTGTTTTTGAAAACTTCAGATTCTATTGTTGTCTTTTTAACTGGTTTAAACAAAAAAACAGGACTGCCCGGTGTGTGTGACCATCCAGTGCATCTCACCTTCGGCTTTATGATGTGATGAAGGGACTTTGAATCATCATCGCCATTAGAAGCCGTCGTTTCTGGCTGTGCGATTACAGCGACAGTTGGTACGCTCTGAAATAAGTTAGTAGAACTTGTGCTTGTTTCATGGCTTCTGGGAAAATGGCACTGTGTGTATTTCCACACGAATGGTTGTGGTTTTTGGGTGTCTTGGGAGTCGCTCACAAGCACATGATGCTGGGAATTCCAAGACTTGTGACATATGATGCATAAGCACGATTTATACAAATTACAAAGAGCGAAAGCTTAACTGCTGTACAATTAGAAATAGAAGGACAATAAAAGCACTTCCAGCTCGAACATCACTCTCACAGCTGTCTGCTTGTCTGAGTGTTGCCATGAGAAGAGGTGTACCTCAGCATGGGGCTCTGCTGTGTCTGCCTCGTGCTCTCTCACTGGTCCCACAGCCATCTGGTTCAGCGCCTCCGTATTCCTGTTTCACAGAGTTATAACTCACATAAATTGCTGCGACTCTGCTTCGGGACAGCAGGAATGGTAATTTACACAAGTTGATCACAGTGCCTCTTTCAGGGGGTCAGGTCTAGGATGTGAGTTAAGTGGAAGGTTAAGTACTCTGATCCTGTGAAAGACTAAACCAGGGTCGGAGGTCAAACTTATCAGGATTCTGTAGTGATGTCTCAGCTGATACTCTGTCTCTATTCCAGACAACACATTCAATGTTTGGAACTGGGATTCAAGGTCAGTTACTTTTACAATGATAAGAAACAGCATATTTCATTTATCATCTGTGAATATGAAACTTAGTTTCAAACCCCCTTAGAGATTCCGTGTTTTTACCAGGACGGGGCTCTATTAGAGGGCAAACCACTAAATTATTACCCATTTTGATGGTCCAATGTATTATATTGAATTTTCTTTTTCCCAAACAAATACAATGCTGAGAGTATTTTCTTTACAAAAGATAGTTGAACAAATATCATTAAACAAAAGCTAATAAAATGTGTTTGACTACATTTGGACCTTTTATTTCAGTTCCAAATCCCTTTATAGTGCAACAATAGCTCCCTCTACTGACTCTTAAATAATATTACTATATCAGTTTTAACATTCAGAATTTCCTTATAATGGCTTTTACATACTTTTAAAATGGACATTTATTCAAAAGTACAATAAGGGTAAAATATACCTGATAAAGATGATTTTAACTTTAGATGGGGAGCTCTTGATTATGGATGATGCATTCTGGTGGCTGTGGCCGTAAAGAACTTCTCCATTGATCTGTCGATCACAACACATGAAATATTGGAAAGATAATCATCACATAAACGTTAAATCTGAGGCATTCGGAAAAAATGCATGATCTCACCTCCAGCAGCTCATCCCCCACGACCATACGTCCGTCCTCGCCAGCGGCCCCGCTGGGCTCTATCCCCACCACAAACACACTCATGCGAGAGCGGTCCTTGTTTCCTGCCAGGCTGAGCCCCAGGCCTGTCTTTCCTTTCTCCAGCTCGATCATGTGTAAGACCCCTGGGAGGTGGCCATAGCGCTGTATTATGTTCTCTGTAAGAGTCAGATGAAGTTGCGGCACAAGCATGTCAGCCAATACAGCAGCAGCTATTGCAGTGTTGTTCAAAATGCGGTAAGACGCAAATCTAGTGAAAGTAAGTGGTAAAAGTTTGAGGCCCGACTGCTGATTTTCTTTTTAAACCATTTATCCTTTTGTCTCAGTCGTGTCTCTTTTGTTCTTATTCCACCCTCTTGTCTTTCTCTCTCCACCTCTCCTGTCACTGGTGTGTTAGATTGCCACTCTTTAGTCCAACGGGCTCGTGTTGTTCTGGGCTCTCTGCCACTGTTCAACCATCAGTTCTGTGCTAATCTCTACAACTCACCTCCCCAGACCCAAACACATCAATCTTATTCTTGCAGGATTGCTCCGTTTATCTTTAACACACACAAACACGCATGCATGCACACACGCAGACTCTCCACAGCCCCAGCTGTTTGGAAGCTGGAAGTCTGTCCTTTAAACTCATTGGAGTGTAGAATTCATCCTACATTTGACATCAGAGTGTCTGCAAAGTGATAAGAGCTTAGTTGGGAAATTGAGTCCTTCAGGTTTCTGCCTTGGTGCAACTATCTCAAGCATGTCAGTGCACTTGTATGGCATCTCTATTTCAGGACAGATTAATGGGAAAGCAAAGCAACATTTCTAACTCAGCTGACCTCTTGTGGTAGTTTAGTATTACTGCACGGAACGGCAAGAAAAAAAGAGTCGTGTCAAGTTTGCAGCTCATCTATTTCATAAATATAATGTAAGTACAGTCTTTGCATATCAGTGGTCATATTCACTCTGAGAAGTCCCACAAGCCTGCATTAATGGCCGAGAGTCCAAAGTAAAATGGAATGATAAAACACACAGTCATAGTGAAGTGAACTCACTCCAGCTGTATCCAAACTCATCCTCCTCTTCCTCCTCCTTGTTCTCTTTGAATGCCTCTGCAGGTCTGCTGGGAATCTCTGTGAGCGCATCCGTATCACTCTCTCCCACATGGGGCAACACTGGCAGTGGGAGGACGGTGTTGGTGGAAGATGCCTTTGCTGCTTCACGCTTCACTAGCTGTCACGCCACAGGAGGAGGTCGAAAATGGTTCATTAGTGAGAGGTAAAGAGGAGAAAGAAGGTTTCATCTCTGTGTTCAAGATTGGAGAGATTGAAGACATGGGAAGGCATAAAAGAGCTGCTGATGTCATCAACAGAGGCCAGATTTCTGGTTCCATTTGCAAAATGTTAGTTTGAATCTGAGTCATGAATATCATTGGTCTGAATCAGAAAATAGTCTATCTAAGCTTTGGCATTAATGCTAACTCATAATAATTTGTATTAAATTATAGTTAAATTTATACATCCATGAGACAGATACATCCACTTACCTGAAAAGAAACAACAAATCATTTTTCTGATTTCTTAAATAAAAAATCTGAGATTTTCATTTTTTCGTTAACCATCCAGAAGATGACAAATGCAAATTTGCAATTCTGCAAATCTGCAAATTTTAAATTAAGTTTGTGAAAGTAACAACACACAAAAAAGCTACAGACAAAAGATGATCTTTCAAAGAAACACAAGAGTTCAGAGAGACAGAAGAGATGTTAGCACGTGTGTATGCCGGTACAGAATGTTACATTTCCGTCAACATATCTGTACCAGCATGCACAGAAAGGAAAAGCAGAAAGACTAACACAAAGACCCACAAACCTTAAATGGGGTGGGAGTGAAAGGGTTAGTTGGGGAGAGGCGGAGGAAAAGTCTACTGTGACTGTCACCCGCCTAAAGAGAAGAAAAACAGGGTAACAACTTTAGAGGACAACACAGACTTGACAGATTGCTACATCTATTCACATAAACTGGTGTTGCAGGTGGCAACAGCCTGTGTGGAACTGAATGTGACAAAGTGAGCACATCTAAACACACAACTTCTTACATTTCAAACTTTGTTCTTACTGCAGTGAGACGGATGCTGTGTACGCTAACAGGAATACCAACCTTGTCCTTGCAGTCCCTTGTTACATGTGCAGCTCTCTCCTCACTGGAGTCTGTTATCGATGACTGTTGCTTTTAAGATAGACATGAAAGTAAATCATTATACTCTTCATCAGATAGTAACACAAAGTATCTCATGTCATATATTGAGAGTAAATTCATAATATACACTCCACTGTCAGCTGATAGTGAAGGATACTGTATCATACTGCAGCTGTAAACAAATACAGAGCCCATAAATAGTAGTAAGCTGATAAAAAGTCAGAGGTGATCTGAATGGCTAAATCACATACGGCTAAAAAAACATAAGGAACAATTAAAAAGATGATTTAAGTTCTTAAGTCTACTTCAAGCTAGGCAAAACTGAGAAAAGAAGCTGACAAAAATACTCTCAAACATGCCAAAACATTGATGTGTTGAGTGGAAAAGCCTGCCGAGCACCACATGCCCAGCCAAGCTTTACCATCCCCGCCTAATGGTTGTGCTTCAAAAGGCTTGTTCAGAATCTCTGTCTTATTGATTAAAAAGACAAAAAATACATCACAGTTAAGAGATCTTCACTGAACAGTGTTTGTGCTGAGTGCCAACCATCTAATCAAACTGTCTTTCTTACATTGGCAATGAGGCACTTAGGGCAATATTTGAGGGATAATTGGAGGAAAGATTGCCCTTAGAAAGCTGGAGACAGAAAGAAAATAAAAAGCGCTTATAAAAGCCTCAAATATTATTGTCTCTTTTGCTTGAAACAAGCAATGAAGGACACAAAGCCAAGACAGGGAAATCAAAATTAACATATGCTAACAAATGAATAGACTCTAAATAGATAAGGGCACACACGAGGCTAAAAGACAAGAATAATACATTTTTAGTTTTCATGTCTGGGAGCAGAGATTTATCACAAAACTCTGGTATTTGAAACAAATTAGCCAATCATTAATGCGAGGGATTTCCATCTTGTAATTGCTCAATGTGGTAAACTGCATTCAGACTGAAACTGAGACATTTACAACATCTAAACCCTTCATTTGTACACAGATACACAAAGGCAAGATTCCTTTTGTCGTCTTCTTTCATCACAGCATACAGCTTGTTAAAATCAGGGCAGTACAGGTCAAGTGAAAATGGAAACAGACACACAGGGTAGCTCTCTAACCTGAGGGAGGGTGGGTGCTAAGTATCTTTGATTAGTGCAGCAAAGGCTTGACTCGCGGTGGCTATTTAGCGGCGGAAAGGGCAGGGGCGGCTTCTAAAAGCAACACAAGACCAACAAGCTGTCAGCATGACACTTTAATGGGATGACTGTGCCTTTATAACCAAACAGAATTGAAGATCACCTGGGAGAATACAAGAGGAAGGACAAAGTATCACATGATTTATTTCAATCAGTAACCATTAAGGTAGATCTTGATGAGCCATTTCCAAGACTAAAGAATGTCATTGTGAAGCGTTCTAACGTAATTTTTACAAGATCCCTGCTAGCTACACTGGATTATTTATTTCTCACACAAGGAGGATATGAATCTTAAATGGAAACTGCATCAAATGCTGTTCAGGTGCCTTAAACTTTATCTGCCTGCTTCACTCATCTATACTACAATCAAATAACTTGTTTCTAACTATTGGGTCTATTGTGATAAGCTTTAGTTTAGCAGCCAGAAAAGGTGACTCTCTGACATGATGAAAATAATTCAAATGGCACAAATGACCTCCGGTGTGTTTTTATATGTCCAAGGCTGACAACTCACAGACTTTTGCACGTAATGGCCTCCAAAACTATTAACAGCTAAGATATATTTGTATCTTACGGACTGAAAGGTGCAGGATTTCATGAAGTTCAGATATTTTTAAATTCCCACCTTAGAAATGTTAAAAAACTACGCCTTGCAACAGCAATGCTCAGTTACATCTCATCAAGTCTCAATGCTGGCCAAACAAAAAAGGAGTCTGTTTGGTCTTCTATAGGATTTTCATTCTTCTGACAACATGTCTGTGGTTCTGGCAGATTTGTGGGCTGCCTGAAATGCAAAGCTTGTATAAGGATGTTTAAGTAAGGAAAAATCGATCATGTATAAGAGACAAAAAAGGAGCCGAAAATACACGAAAAAATGTGTTCGTTCCACCAACACCAGGCTGTATAAATCCATGTAGTTATGCTAGTCTGACCAAAACTGTACATATCAAGGTTTTTCAGAACAAGGCTATCACATCCAGGTAAAGTGGATGGGGTCAGAATAAGTCCTCCACATATCCTCTCAACAAGACACTAATGGGCCAAAGCACTGTCAGCGCTGCAGGGTTCCATTATTTTGCACCTTTTTATAAAAATAGAAGTCATTTCTACACAAGAAACTGTGACAAATGATGAATTCAGTAACACTTTTGAGGCTCCAAATAAAAAGCAAGATTACTGTTCAATAATTCAATAAAACTGGGATTATATAATTAGTCTCATTTTACAAAATAACCATTCAAGTCAATTAGTGATGTGTATGCAGTGAGTTCAGTTATGCCTACACAAGAGCAACCAAACTGATTTTAGCACTCGCTGACCACTCGGTGATAAACATCACGCATCTTGTAATTGTTGCCAATAGAGAACAGAACAGGATGTCTATGAATTTGTTCTCCCAGGAGCAATCTTCAATTCTGTTCTACACACATAAGTGCACATATTGGTTGTAATCAAATGTTAAAGAAAGGTTTTATAAGGAGAGAGAGAGAGAGAAAGTGGAGCAAGGACAGATAATGTAACTAAGATTGCATGTGATGGATAGCTGCTGTAATAGCTGTGAAAGATGGAGAAATAGAGAGACAGATTACCTGGGATGTGCGAATTGGCATGCATGTGAAAGCAGTGGTGCGTTTCTCTACAACGGGCGAGGGAGCTGGGCTATAGACTGACTCTGGCTGAGAGCGCCGAGTGGAGGAACAGAAATGCAGGTATGAGGCAACTCATAATTTAGTAACTGTTGATAAAAGGTACTTTACAACACTTCAGGTGAGGACACAGTTTAACAACATCTTAAAAAGCCGACATAAAATTCTTTTCGTTTTTATGATGTTATGTCGTTCTTTGAATTATGAATCCTAAAGTCTGCACCAAATGAGGCGATCCGGATGTGAAGCCCATATTATTGTAGGTCTATTGAGAAGTTTAGGGCCTCTTTCAGAAGCTGCTTGACAAGTTAACTTTTTTTTTGCAATCTGCTGACTTAAAGAGACAGGTGCTAAATTATTTCCCACTTATACCATCAGCATAATTATTAACAATTACTTTATCATTATTAAGTTGTAAATTAGGCTCTTTAAATGGAGTTTGACTACCATCCTTTCTTAGGAAAACACCTTTCCATTCCCATCTTTACATACTAAACACGAAGCAAAAAACAAGCAGATTGTTAACTTAGTATGTTTTTCACAAAATCTGTAAACAGGAAGGTACTTCACTAACATTTACAACTTAATCTGTAAATTTGGACGTTTTTTAAACTAAAGGTAAATTATGTGGTTTTCTTCATCAAACTATCATTGAGTTCCAATGAGACACTCTCTCAACAGTGTACTCAAGTTGCCATTGTGTGAACAAACAAAGAAGTCAATTGGTGAATACTGACAAATGATAAGAGCCAGGGTGTGTTTGGCTGGAGCACACACACCAAAAATAAGTGAGATAGATGTTCATTGAGGCTGCACGCGCATCTAATAGACGATTGTCTGCTTTGTGTATGAGGCCCCAATGAATGGTTCTCAACTTTTTAAAGTCTAAATTCATTCAAACAGAACAGAAATACAGCTGTATCCATATTCTCCCCAAGCTAGATTAATTCAGTATTCACCCAGCTAAAGTATATTAAATTGTGAAATATTTTTACAGCCTATTTTCACTGTTTAATTTGGCCTATTAAGTGCATCAAAAATAGTAGTGCCCTCTCTGTGTCCTCCCCAGTTTTTTTACATGAGATTATAATTTGCGACGTACGTAATGAGAAACAAAAGAAAGCATGTGGGAATATCTCAAAGAAAACAATACAAGAAAAGTAATCTGACTGAAAGAGATCTGACACTGGAGTCTGGCCAGCACCGGCTGCAGCAGGAAACTACTTAGTCATGCTTTAAAGGCCTGAGGGCACTTTCAAACAACAAAAGATGTTGTTGATATGGTGATTTCCAATGAGGTGTCCCTCTTAAAGGTTAGAATTCGCTAAGATGGTGAACATGCCAAGCAGGGTTTGATGTTGCTCTCATAAATGTTTAAAAGTGACTTTCAACCTTCAAACAACCAAAATACTACAGGGGTTGTGCATATAATGCATATTTTATCTTTGAAAGTGCCCTAAATGGCCTGCACAGACACAATAAACTTTTTCATGAGATGATGAAAGAAGCTACAGCATGAGGAAATAGTGACCTTTATATTACAAGGAAGTTAATAGGAGTTGGGGTGTCACAATTACACAGCCTTACCCTTGGTTTGTGAATAATACTCTGAACCAGGAAAGAAACTGTGTTGCCTGCCCTACGTATGGCTTCCACTGCCTCCTCATGACTGGCATCTCTTAAGTCAACTCCATCCACCTGAAAAAGGGATGACAAAGAAGAGAGTTGGGCCTCTAGAATCTGCAATTCAAATTTGATGGATGTGATGTTTGCATTCTCTCCATTTGAAAATATCAAAACCAGTTTTATTAGCACAAATAGCAGTCGTGTGTAAGTTACAGTTCAGCTTAACTTTGTTGAGTGATCTGAAATGTGTCCCTACCTCTACAATCCTGTCCCCTGTCTTCAGAGTGCCGTTCTGCCCAGCAGGACTGTCCTCCAGGATGTGCTTGATAAAAATGCCTCTCATCACTTCTCCATTGTTCAGCCGGCTGCCCATTCCTCTGCCTCCAACAATACTGATCCCCAGGGACTTGCCTGGCTCTCTGAAAAGCTCCACTCTGAGGAAGGCACCAATATTTCCATGCTCAATTTTCATTTCAAAGCAGAGGCATTTTGCTGATTAGATAAGACCTCTCTGGACGTATACTCACTTCCTGGGCTGATTCCAGTTGTTATAAGAGGCACTCTCTTCCCCCTCGCCATCTTCACGCTCAGGGAGGATAGGGATATCTCTGGATTTATAAATGCAAAGGTAACATTTTGTTTAAGCTGACGCAAGCAAAAGGTTAAAATGCTTTAAAGCTTTTTGTTTTTGACCAACACAAATGTGAAAAAGTGTGAGGTCAGCTCGGGCTATTGAACACCTTTGCTTTTGATATTTCTATCCTGAAATAAAACCCTACACGTTTACAACAGGAGAAAAGCAATTTTGGGTTTACAGTGTGTTTTGGTAGTAAAATATGGAAATGTAAACATACATAATTTTAGAGAAAATCTCAAAAAGCTTCTTTATATTTTTTCTAACAGCGGTTATGAGTCGCTCTGCTTATGTGTAGAACGAGGACTTACTTTGGTGGTGGAAGTGAGAGCGGAGCTGCTTCTAAGAAGACATCCTCTTTATCTTGGGCTAAGCTGGCCTTGTACTCCTCCAGATATTCAGCTGGGACGTACTTAATGCTGAACCCCCCCACCCCCACACACACAAACAAAGACACATCCACATAAATTAATCAACATAAATTTCACTGTCTGACATATTTAGTCACACCTTCACCCACCTGACTGATAATTATCCTTTTTTCATTACAAACTAATTGGAATTTATATGGGGAAAAAAGAACAGCAAAGTATTGCAGATGTCAGCGCTTTCATTAAAAAAGCAGGCTTCATCTAAAGCTCGTTGACTCAGCTCCATCAAACTGAATGTCATGCACAGCCGCATGCCGATACCAAACTCAGTTCACCGCTAAGTAAACACCTCCTCACAACAAGCTCATAGTGAGATGTCTTTGAATTGTGGCACTTTGACATTTTGCTGTTCAGAACTGATGTTCATCTTTGCAAATGTTCGAGTGAATCAAGTTTTCAATCACCTATTTTATGACAAATGGAAAAAAATTGGAGGGACTGATTTAATCTATTATTAATTGTGGAAGCAGTCCTCTAACTTGCGTTCAGAGATGAGCCAAAAGATAGCAGACAAGCTGACATCCACTTGCATTTCAAAACAACTGAGAGTGAAGCTGATTCTTAAGGGCACATTAACACATCTGAGCAAGGCTGACACATCTTCAATAGATGGGTTGATTTAGTTTTTTTTAAACATGATGCCATGCAGATAGAGGAAGAAGATTCTCAGTGAAATAATGAAATGGATAAGTCGGTTTATTAGAGACATCACGACTGAGAGTGAGGGTGTGCGTCAATACCACAGGTGAACAAAACAAAAGGTTCTTTGTTAGAAACAGAAATGAAAGAAAGCAGGTTATGAGCAGGTTTAGTGGAATAAATAGGTGCGACAGGCAGTTAAGATTTATCCAGAGAGGTGCGTTAACATTCATCTTCAAGCTTGTATTTCCAAGAGAAAGGTTTCTCTCGTTTGGTGGTTAATAACTGAGCGGAGCGTACATAATTTAAATGTTAATCCGTATAACTGGAACCTAAACAGCTACTGAAAACGTTAAGCTTTTGAAGTTGTCCTTATTTTGACATTTAACTGATCTGACCTAAATCTTCTGGATAAACCTCTCAATAGACTGCGGTGAAGCTCGGCAGCAAATGGAGAGCAAAAGAAGAAGAGACCTCAGGTGGCAGCTTCCCTCTGAAATACCACCTGCGTGGAAGTTAGTCATACTCACACATAAAACGGGTACAGATCGTCCTCGGGTGCACAAGCAGATCTAGAATGTGAAGAATTGGCTTTTATGCACCAAAGCTAACAAACGGCCAAGTTTAGTTTAGCAAGCAGAATTTGCCAAAACAATACATTCACTTTACTTCCAATTCCATCATGTGACAAATAGTCCAGGGCCCCAGAGTTCATTCTGTCCTCATGACGACTTGATATAAATATTAAACCACAACCTACAAACACCTCTTTTCCTTGTTGATTGAGAGAAAATGGTTACTTTTTAATGTGCTGCAATATTCTAACATGGACAAGATCCTATTTCTTAAAAATAATCCAAAAAAGACAACTTTGGGTTTGTTTTCAGTTGCCGTCTTTAGGGCTGGTTTTGATTGATTGAGTCTGTCAAAAGCAGCTCTGATTGAGTTCACTGCAAGAAAAGAAAACAGCTTTGCTAAAGAGAAGACACACTTTTGTTGAGCAGGCGAACGCTGTGTGTTCTGAGGAATATGATTTTAATTAGGACTCTGAATGTGCAAAAACACTGCGACTGAATAGGGGTCGTAATGTGGGCACGAGTCATTTGTCAGAATATGCTCTGAAACGTGTGAACAACATCCAGTCTGTAAGGCATATAAACAATGTAATTACATTCCAAAATAAATCTGGCTGTCGAAGTATTGCTGTGCACGTACACACAGACAATGTTTTGTAATGGAAACCTAACTTAAAGGTCTACCCACTGTTATGCAGGTATAGTCTCTTACCCCAGGTCTGGTCCAATGAGAGAATGTCTTCTGAGCATGGCTCGAGCTTGCACGTTGGTTAAGTTGGTGGTGGGCTCCCCATTAATAGCCAGGATGAGATCACCAACCCCAAGACGGCCATCACGACTAATGGACGCCCCGTGGATTATACTGCGGATCAGCATTCCCAGACCATCTTTCATGGCACTGACAGTCATCCCTTTAAGGTAATCAGTAATAAATTATACAATTATGAGTTTTATCTGAAATACTCAAATACTGCATTCATTTACTGATGCTGTTCTGGTGCAGAAACGTTTGTTTGTGCCCACACAAATAATTTCAGAACGTGTCAAAACGCAGTACTTGTTAATCTGCTAGCCATGTAATTAAGGACGTAATTAATGTGAACTCAAATTACATTTCAGTCTTTATCACTACAGTGTAATAAGTAAACATTCCTCTTCTAACTCAGTGTGTGGGAGTTCATTTACAAAGAGCTCTCTTCAAAATGTGCATCTTAAATTATCTTTGGTAGAAAAATTCTGTGGAAAAAAATATCCAAACATTTTATGAGTAACAATTAAAAATATTCAGACTTATATTCAGAATATTAAAAAATATCGGTACAGTAAATGTGTAATTCTAAAGAATTTTAAGTTTGCTTTCATATCAACCATTTGTTTTTTAAAGTTCAGAGTAGCACTCTGTGTGCCAGGAGCAGCCCCTCGCGGGAGGGTTGTGAAATGCTAATTAATCTGCAAAACAATAAAATGATCCTCTCTATCATTTATTCTGTAAAGTGGGAATTATGAAATGGGAAGACAAAAGTAAAGGCCAAATGTACCTTTCATTCCTAAGCCTCATTAACACTTCTGCCAAGGATGGGAGAAAAAATCATATAAAGAACAAATCAAAGAATGTGAAGAAGTAAACACAAACCGAGACTGGAGTTGCCCTTTACAACTGTAATAGTCCTTTCAAAATTGTTCCCTGAGGTCATTGCTGCTTTGTCACTGTCTTCTGTGGATTCTTTCACACCAGCCTCTTCATCCTTGAAGATAATATGTCAACAAATTTATTCACAGCAGTAAATGAAAAGGCTTGTGCAGACTCCAAACAAAGCTAGATCCCCTGAGAAGAGGTAGATGCAGCAATTTAGCTGTGAAAAGGAATATTCAACAGTTATTTGAAAGGAGTTTCGGACTGAAATGACTATTAACGAGGAAGAAAACAATACGATTATCATGCTATTTGAGGCATTACAAGGACTAATCTTAAAAAAATGTTAGATCGTGAGCTCATTGCTCATCTTCCTTTTTCAAGTTTTTACATTATTATTCCTAATTTACCTTCAAAATCATTTTCCCAATGTCACCAAAAGATATTTCAGGTTCCTGAAAGAGAAGCGACTCCGTGGGTGAATCTTGACCACTGGATCTGGTCCCTGTTTCAGCAAACGGGCTGAAGGAGTTGGAGCGCTCCGCTTCTTCTCTGGCTCCTGATGGGTGCTGTGCCAAGTATTGATCAGAGCTGCTTAGAATGGCATTAATAGCCGGGATGTGACCTGTCAGACTCGCGGGAGTGTAAGGGGCTGACTGTTCTGGAGAGAATTCTTGAGTGTTGTCTGCAAAGCCGGGATGTTCATCCAGCACGTTCAGGTAAGCTGTCTGCTAAAGTGAAACAAAGCGTAGCAGCTGAATGAGTATCCACTCCGAAAGAATTTATCTCACTCAGCCACCACCCTGTGCCTCGTGTAATGGGTCGCAGAAACCATCAGTATATGTCAATAGTACAAACATGTATATTTGGCACGAAAGATGGGCACTTTACAAGGAAGGTTATCTAGTCTGTTACAAGAATTGACCTTAGATACAGACAGAAACTGACATAAATTTGATTTCTCAACAGGCTTGTTGCCTCTCTGTAAAGCTTATCATCACCAGGAGTCGGAATTGTCTGACCTAATAGAAACATTTGAAATCTGTTAGGTGAAATTCACAAAATGCCACATGTTATCTTGGCTAATATCTGTCTCTCCAGGCTGCCCTATTACACATTAAATTACTCAGGGAGGCCCCAGTAAATAAGGTCAGGTGTGACCTTTGGGAAAACTGGAAGTCTGCCTGCCCTTTGCTATTACCTCTTCTTGTTTATTTTCCTTATAATTTAACAGCTATTTGTTGAGTTGTTGCTCTGGGGGCACCCAGGGCAACAAATGCAGCCACAGCTCCAGACCTCATATAACAACAATGTCAGCAGTGTAGTAACAGCCTTAACAAAGAAGAAAAACACCGATGTCTTGAGACTTTTTGGCTTTAAATTGCTCATTTTAAAAAAGAATAATGACAACATGCTGTATTTCTCAGCTTGACGAAGGGTATAAGCTGCGGTAACGTCTAATTAAACGAGGAGCTGTGCCTCTGGTTTAATGCTGATTTTAAAAACGTTATCTTACCTTAGGTGTGGATGAATGCAGATAATCCAGGTCAGCACCACAGCTGCTCCCATGGAGAGCAATCATGGATACTTGGAAAGTGTCATCCTCGAGTTCAGAATAAGTATGGTCGAAAAACTTCTCATCAGACAGGTCTCCTTCACTGGTGTCAACCTAAAACAGTGAATCAATACATCAGTAGCTGAACTAAGTGGTGAAGATACTAGTTACAGAAAGCTGAAATTATGATGCTACCCTCCCATCTTATTATCCGGAAATCTGAACAACATAAACACAATCCCTATTAAATAACAAATGTCAGAATAAGTCATTGGTTTACATTAAAACAACCTCGTTTTATTATTCATGAAAGCAAATATCTATTACAATGGACAGTTTGTTTCTCTTTTGAGGCCTTCTGATTTTTCAGTGTTCCCCAAAGCTAACTGACCAATGCAGGCTCTGCTCGGTAAAGGATGCCTTCAGTCAATTCTTCTTCTTCTCCTTCTTCAACCAAAATATTGTTGAAGTCAAATGAATGGATGGTGGATGATGAAGTTATTTCCTGCTCACCATATGGGTGTGGAGAGTGGGAATATCCACATATTCCCTAGGAAAGTGGAGAAATTTATTCAGTGTCTCCAGATTTATGTAATTATTAGACTTTAGATTCTTTCTTTTTTTTAACCAAATCTTATGTCAATGAATTAGTATGGAATGAAGATGAAAAGAGGTGTTAGGATTTTTTTTGGCATGAAAGTGTTAAGAGTTACACATAGCGTGAAAAACTACTAAGTTAAATAGCTCAAAAGGGCTTTTGAAAAATTCTCAATAGTAAAGATCTCAAACATTTGATAGCGACTCTGTAGTAGGAACTTTTGATATTTACTTTGTGTAACATGCCTCAGAGACAGATATGAAAAGCAAAAAGGCATATTGGGAGGATTACATCCATCAGACTCAATTTTGAAAGGCAATACAACAAAATACCCCTCAGAAATACATTCCACATCCTGCAGGAGAGCTTCCTGCAGTTCTGTAATCCAGCTAACCCTGGCAACCCAGAGCTCCCTGAGTAATCCAAAGGCAGATTCAATACAAGAAAAATGCAGCCTACAGCAGAAAGAACTCAAACTGCTTCTGCAGAGAAAAACGTCTTGTGCAAAGGGCATGGATAGTTGGAGTAATGAACAGTACTCTTGACAGATGCCCAGATGCCCTGATAGGTAGATAGAGATGGTGCTCTTGGAAAATGAATTGCATCATAATACGAAACAAAGGGTGCATGACCAACCCTTTTGAGTGGAATTCTACACCATGCAGCCTACCTGCCCACCTTTTTCCTGCATAAAAAATTTAAGCTCTTGTAAGCTGAGCCGACTGCAGAGGGAGTTGTGTGACCTAAAAATTGCCTGACTCAAAACATCGCACAGCGAGTGATAAATCCTTGACTGCTACACATCTATAACAGAAAAGTCAAGTACTAGAGTCTTAAGTCCAAAAGACACATGCATACAAGTCATAATCTACGTTTGATTTTCAGACAGATAAAAGCAAAGAAAAACGAGGACGAACAGTAAGACAAAAGCTTACAGGCAGCGGTTTTGCAACACCAATCTGGACCATGCCAAGTTTAGCTCCCTTAAGGGCCTGGACAGCATCCTCCAGGCTGGCGTTCTCCAGGTTTGTGGTGTTAACATACATGAGTCGGTCTCCTGGTAACAGCCTGCCATCCCTCTCTGCAACACCGTTGGGAACCAGAGAGCGTATCACAATGACAGTCTTTGAAGGGTCCAGTGGGTCCTGAGGAACAAAAAAAGTCATTTGAAATGTGACATGGATAAAAAAAGGGCAAATGCCCTTTTCTTATAAAAGGTAAAATACTGTAATTCTATGATAATGACAAATACATTGTTTGCGATATCTGCAGCGAAGATTTCCCACCTGGTAATCCAAAATACTAAATCCCAATCCACTTTCTCCCTTTTCCAGCTCAATATTCTGGATCTCCAACTCCCACATAGCCAAAGACGATCCTATTGGCTCCGCTGTCACGTTATCCTGTGTTGCTGCTCCCGTCTTCACCTCAGAGTCTTCAGCAACCAGTGCAATGCTCAGGTCTATTTGATTCTGCAGAGAGGGGAAATGGCCAAAATCACAATGTAACACCATGCCACCTTCACTTTCCCTCCCAAGCCATAGGCTCCTACCCTCTTGTTGTGTTTCCGGCTCAGATTTCTGGCAGTAGATAAAAAGGGAAATATCTCTGGGATGCTAGGGGCTTTAGTACATTATCACAGATAAAGCTAGAGAGATGAAAACCCTTTCCCTGAAGGGAAGCTGTATTTGATGTCTCATATCTCCATCAAACGATATTAGCTCCTGCTGAGGTATTGCTAAAATTGATCTAAATAAACTTTCCGTCTCCCCGGCTTATCGCTAAGTTTAAATCCATCACGACTGACAATACAGAAAGCCACTAAAGCGATCGACAGCAAAGCAAAACTAATAACAGATGATGGGTTACAGCGGAGAAGAAGTGTCACTCTCCAGTCATATTGCCTCGCTTTCCGTGAACGGGGCTGGGAAACATGATTTATAATCCAACAACAGTATCAAACAGACGGAGAGGATTCTTTATACACTGGATAGTGTGTAAGTTTTCAGTCTGGAGAAAGTAAAAATAACATTACTCTTGTTTCCTATACATAAACATAAACGCTAAAGAATACTTTAATTAGTTAACTCGACAAAAAATGACACATTTGCTCAAGGCAAGCAATGAAAATATGGTACCTTCAATATTGGTGCTGTGGGCAAAGTCTTTGACTCTGGTAGGACGGGATCAATGTCAGTCGGAACATCAGGAGCAGGTCTGCAGCAAGTCATGTACACACAGACTGGAAGCTCCTTCAAAATTTTCACCACTTCTTTGTGGGTTTCACCAATGAGGGAAATACCATTGACCTAAGGAAGAAGAATTTGGTTAACTTTAAACTAACTCCAATGTGACCCAGACAGCTGGCCTGAGCAGAATTCCATATGCGATTTCCCTCACAGTTGAGATCCAAATATTATTTTTAGGGAGACAGCTCCAAAAGGTTTAAGGAATGTTGAGCTATTTTATTTCATTCATTGTTGTCAATAAAAATTTCAGGTGTCGATGTTAAATTCAGCAATAAATTCCTAAAGCCTCCTTTTTAGTCCTTACATTCATGGCTCCTGAACAGCAGAGGCTGTTTCGGAGTTAATGAGTGTTCCCCTTATTTTTCTTATCCATCCTGAAATGAGACTTTCCTTATTGTTCATGTTTTGATTTTGACTATATTGTTTTGGCAATATTCTATCCTTTTTCATTGATATAAGTGTGTTTCTAACACTTTTTGTTTGTAACTAATTGCCCCAGCTGAATTTGATCCTTTCATTTTTTTCATTCAGTTTATGTTTACTTGGTTCTCCATGCTTTCCTTGCTTCCTTTGCTTTGGCAGCATCAGTTTCAGTTTTATTAAAACCATCATTCATGTGCCACCTGTCTCATCTGGTAGCCCTTCCCTTCATTTGGATTCCTGAAGGGAAGGGAATACAAACTGACCTAAAGTTTAAAGTAGTTACTAATACAATATGTGAAGAAGGGGAACTCCAATTTGATTTTGACCTTTATAGCAGGCATCATATCACTGCAATTCAGCATAAGAAAGAGCCTTTGAGTCCTTAGGTTCCTCAGTCTCCACTGCCTCTCAGTGATCCCAGAAGGCTATTTGGTCTGAAAGGAACATATCTACAGCACTTCTGGGGTTCAGCAGTGTTCCCAAGGGTAAGAATGGGAGTGAAAGTTTAAACGGCTGACCATGTGATGAGTGCAGACCTTTTCCCTGGAACAGAAGCTGGGTAAGAGTGGCCGCCCTCATTACTAAAGCTGGCATGAATATGAAAAAAAAACTCAGGCTTGAAAGCCGCAAGGAGTTATCTGGAATTATTAACTGTCAATGTTTCTAAATATTCTGATACCGAGTCACTGTGGAAAAAAACTGTGTTTAAGTGACATCTTACCTCAAGCAGTTCATCTCCACTGAACAGCTTTCCACAGCAGCCAACAGGTCCTTCAGGAAGGACGGAGCGGATGTAGTGATGGCCACTGTTGGCTTCTAGACTGATGCCCAGCCCACTGTTCTCAGTGAACTTCTCCACCTGAGCCACCTGTCATGACAATAAGGAATTAATCAACTGCTAGTGTATCTATTTTATTTTTAAATCTGGCTATCTCTTTAAATGTATTCACAAAACCTGATATTTCATTTTAAAATAAATTCAACTTAGAAAAGTATTGAACACAAACTCACCACAACTTCATTGTTCGGACCAAGAATCTCCTGCCACTTCTTCATTAGTTCTTCTTCTTCTAAAGGTGTTAACTTTAATGCTTGAAAAAATATTAAGAGTATTAATATCAAAAAGCAACATCAATCTAGTTGTAAAGTTGATAAAACGTCAAGTGTTACAGACCAACATAAGATAAACTTCTGTCGTCAACAGTTTAAATACTGAAATTTCCTACTCTTAGAACCGAGCATCAGACCCCATCTGAGTATTTCCTCTCTCTGTGTGCTGCTAGCTAGTGTGGTCCTGTCAACGATCGCTCTTACTGTCAGAAGTGTGTCAAGTATTTCCACTAGAGGACATACAGGAGAGAAGAATCCCAGGCTCCTACCATGTTTGTCTGTTGTTAGCTGATCCGTTACCGCGCTGACATCAGATCCGTCATTCATTGTCTGGAGCTGTCTCTCATCTGCAGTGGCTGTCAACACACAACAGTCAGCGAAAACGGAAGAGGCAGGTACTGGCAAAAACAACGCCGGCTTACAAAAGGTCAGTTTCTATTCCCCAGCTCCAGTAATATATGAGAAAAACCCGTATTCATTGGAAATATATACACATGTATTTTCATTCAGCCCTGTATCATTCAACTATGTTCCTTTCATTAATATGGTCATTTCCTATTTGTATAGGAAAGATATAAATGCCCTCGTTGACGTCATCCTGAGAACTTAAAATATGTTTAACGATCCTGGCACTTTTTTAACAACTTCATTCCAATGTTTGTCTTCAGGTTCCCAGAGGGCAAAGAACCGTTCAACCATTTAATTACTACTCATGCATTGTGAAAGATATAGTATCAGCATCTTTTAAGTACCACCATAAAAGCAGTACTTGGTAGTTTGGGATAGAAGAAGAAAGTCAGCGGTCTTAAAAATGACATGACAACAGTTTGAGCTGGCATTTATATTTCTTTCCATAATCCCCAAGATTTAATGACTGTTGCACACCAAAATTATAGCCTGGCACTGCCTGGCAAATGCACTTATGTGAGTGAGTCAGGAATGTCTCCCACATTTCTAATTCCCAAGGCAATTACAAACTAATTTCCTGTAAAACAATCGAGTTATTCGTTCTTCTTTAAATCCCAGGAAGCTCCAGATACCCGACCATTGTAGTTGTGATATGGAGGTTTGTATCTTTCTCCTCTTTCTACAGGACTTTAGTTTTTAGTTTTTTCAGGGGTTCACAGCAGCCAAGAAAACTAAGTTTTTGTCTGTTATCTCCTGGCTGTGAGTTTGTCTTCAGGTTTTGGAGCTAGCATTTCCCGTTGCCAAATTTAATTTCTTTCAGTCTCCATCTATCATTGTTGACAACTCATGCAAGTTACTTTCTCCGCTTCTGTAATAGCCTGGAGGTCTTGTCAGTGCATCTGCAGACAGGATTCTCTCTGTCTACTTTCTGTCTAACTTGTTCAATGTTATTATTTACCAAAAAATGCATGAGGCTGTTTAAACTAACATGATGTATATTTATGCAGACGTGTATAAATCTATTGCTGTATTTATGATGTGGATGTCATGGGTTTTCTGTATTATAGGCACATATTTAAGTAAATAAAAAATGAGTATTTCACAGTCAAAAAAGAATGATAACAAGCTTTGGATTCCCTTCTCAGAGAATAGTTTTTTGGGTCCATTATGCCTGCATGAAGGTCAAAAGATAAATTTAAAAAGTTTTAGCATTTAAAATTGGTCAAGGCTAATCAGAAGCATTTTCATTAAAAAAAATATTCAATAATGATTTTGTCATTTTGGGGAATATAAACCTTGAAGAAGATTTAGTTTACAATATAAATATAAAAATATGCTGCACGGCCAAGAGACTGGCAGATGTAAATCTATCCTCCATTCTGTAACTTACTCTAAATGCCAAGCGTGCATTCAAATATGGTACGAGCTCATAAATAAGACGTGAGTCAGAACCTGCATCATGCGTAAGCACGAAGGTGTGACACAGGAGAAATGAATACTCGTGAGAGCAAACACCATTACTACATCCACAGAAATGTTCCTCAGAGCATGCTGATGTGATAAGCTCAACATCTCTCACATGCTCCAAATTGCTCTGTTCACATTTGCTTTGGAGACAAGAGACTGGCCAGTGTTGGATGCCTCCTCTCCTCTCTGATTGGCCATTGCAACGGGGCCAAGAGCACTGCCTGCGTAGCAAAGGGGAGAGTGTTTCCAAACAGAGGCAGCCAGTTCCAGAATTATTCTGTAATTCTATGCGGTTCCCAAACATTTCCACCTACAAAATGTTATTATAGTATTTTCTGTCTAAGTCATGTCTCAGAAAAACTTTGTGTTGACACTTTTGATATTGACACTGATATTTATGGTGAGTATATTTCTGAGGTTGTTTTTGACTCAATCAGACTTACATGTAGTTTATCAAACATTGCATGCCAGACATTTGAGAAAAACCATTGCAAATTCTGCAATTACTTTACATTTTTTGCTGAAAAGATGATGTGTGGAAAGCTGCAATGACATATAGCTGCTCGTTAGATACTCAAAATCAAAAAAGCAACGAGAAACTGCGCTCTGTATCTTTCAAAAAGACCACAAAGCTGAAATAACACTGAACGTCATGACCTTAAAGTTTAGATGAAGTTAAGATCTACTGCAGGACCATCAGACCATGTTAGTTATTACTTTTTTTACATTTCACCAGTATTAAATCATGGAGGCAAAGTTGAGTCAGTATCTACAGTATTCTCCAGGAGAAATTTGAAAAAAGAATATTCAGTAGAGCAACCTGGAAACCCAAATGTCACACTTAAACATTCATGAGAACCACAGAAATCGTAAATCAAAGTTCAGTGGGATCGCATATGTAACAAGACGACAGCTATACATGTGTAAAAAACAGATGTCCTTAACCACAAAAGCCCATAGTTTCATTGATATTTTACAAGTACACAGAATCATTACCACAAAGGAATTCTTCCATCTGTGAAAAAAGTGAGAAAAATTGTCATTTTATTTTACTGTAGGCCTTACTTACCATTTACTGACCACAGTCATCCATTCATATTTAAAGCTTTATTTCTCTGTGTGTAAGGTGGATTGCTGCGCTCGCTGATGCCAAACATAACCGTGTTGTAAAAGAGGTTATGCACTTAATTTCAGTTGAATAGGGCTTTTTAAAGTCCATGCTTTTTTGGCTCAATTCAGGGAAGACATGAATGTCAAAGGTTTTTAACCTATGAAAACAAAGATCTAAGATAAAACTGATCAAATAAAGAGGAACATGCGTTTATTCAATCTGTTCATGTAGAGGTCCATGTTTTTCTGTTTGCTGTTGGTTTGCTGCCAGAATCTTTTAACACTGCAGGACCTGCTCTTTGGTTTAGTCAGATGTACAAATATGGCTTGAACCGTCTCCCTCAAAATCCTCCTGCAGAGTTTAATTTCTGACTTAATGTCTTTTGATATCTAAATAAAATGTCACTGAATTTATCCCAATGTTGATACTGCAAAGCAACATCCAATTTCATTAAGAGTCCCATGGAAAATATTCACCACAGCATTGTGAAAACATTTACATGACGACTTTTACACCTTTTTTTTGACAGATGGCAGAACTTTAAAGTTCCTTCTCACCTTGAACAGGCTCATCTGTCTTCTGCCTCTCCAGCTCCAGTTCCTTTAACACAGTGGCGGTGGTTGGGATGGTGGCGGAAGGGGACAGGACGGTGACACTGGGGGCCACAGCAGGGGGGATCTCGTCGGGTCTGAAGCCCCGCCGGATCAGCTTTAGGTGGACTGTTTGACCAGTGTGTCTGAGTACTTCCACCGCCTGTTGATTGGTGTATCCCATAATGTCTACACCATCAACCTGCAGAGGGTTGCCATTTGTGGATTAAATGATGCAGAAGATGTTGTTTGGGCAGTTTAATTGTCCTTAATTAGGTATTCTGAATTCAAAGAGATCTTTCTCAAGTGAAATATTGAGATTGAGTTAAATACCTGAGGGTATATAATAAACTCACTGCTTCCTAAATATTGACAATCATTTCATCACTTCATTTATTTAGGTTGTTTAGCAGATAAGATGAAATACTTCAGTAATTAAGCAAGAAATCATTGACCAGAGCAGCAGAACAAAGGCAGAGTTTGATGAACATTATAAAAACACTACACAATAATTGTCCTCAGTAATAAAATCAAGATGTATTTGCTCAGTGTTAATTAAACACTTAAATGTTCACAGACACGAGAAAAAAAAGCTGTCTGAATTATCAGTTAATTGTAAATTATTCAAAATTATGCATCTCAAAATTTTCAACACTGAGTGAGCAAATGTGATAACTATAATGCACAACATGAGCTGTTCGCTGCATAGTTTACCTCATACCAGTGACAACAGAGAAACACTCCAAACAGCATAATTAGGATACTTACAGCTATTATCTGGTCTCCAACATGAATACGGCCATCTTGATCTACAGCGCTGTCTTTTGTTATGCTCTTAACAAAGATACCAGAGGGCTCTGTGGAGTAAGAACAAGTTGTTAAATCAAGGAGCAATGTAATTTCCCTCTATTTCTTTCTCTTAGATGGAACTATTACCGTTTGATGAGAGCTATGTTCATGGGAATACAAAGCAGCAGGACACAGTTCATAATAAGCAGGTCCATGACAAATCTCTTCCATAGTTTTGCCTCAAGAAAACACTCATTATAGCAGAAAATTAATATTTAGCAAAGCTTGGAAATAACAGCTTTTGAAGATGGCAATTGTCTGTCCTGACCAGCTTTGTTTTCTTTAGGGTACTTGAAGGGGACCACAGAGTAAGTGCAAAGCGCCAAAACCAGGTTGAGTCTTTACATGAGTGATTCCACCCCCACCCATATTATTTGGAGGTGTTAGTCAACCTTTAAGAACTCTAAGAGGCGGACGCAGATTAAGAGGAGAAGCAGTCACCTGCCTATAGAAAGGTCTGGGATGGGACTCTCTGCTAACATGGAACACGCTTAGAAGTGTTGTAGGCAAACGACTCCCCCCACGTAGCCTCATCGTGTGAATGTGTGTGACAGAGTAAAAACACTGCTTAGCCTGTAACCCAGTATAGTCTAAAAGAGATCATGTGAATGGATGAGTCTGGTACGTCAGGTAGAAGTGCTGCGGGAGGTCAGCTGGAGGAGAAAGGGGCAACATAAATACAGTCCATTTCCAGCTTTAAATTGAGATTGTGTTTTGGATTTCCCCGTTGTTCGCTTTGTCAGGGATGTTTTTTAAACCTGTTTTCTTTCTACATGCTGTAAACCTTACTTCCTGTTTTATTTTTTGACCTGCCCCTCTCTGCTTCCTGTCCTCCTTGCTCACCTGGGAACTGATTAAGTAGCACCTGAAACATATTAATCACTCAAAGGGCTTGGTTTTAGTTCTCTCTTCAGGCAGATCCTTGTCAATGTTTCCTCTAATGTAAGTCCTTTTCTATTCTGTTTTGGCTTAGTAACAATTTGGATTTCTGTTTAGTTTCACAACAATGTTTGACACCTATTATTGTACTTTTGTTAATTTAAAGAAGAAATGTATTTCAGTCTTATAAATATCAGCTACAACTGTTAAAGTGGGGGCAGATGAAGCTACAGCATCAGTACACTTTAGTCCTCAAACTGTCAAGTTTTCAGAGGTGTTGCCCCCACAGAGATTATGTTAATCATGAGAAAGGCAAATCAGAAAATGTGTTGTTAGAGTGGTCACAAAGACGAACAAGTACTTTCAAAACCAACAGAGCTGGATGGAATAATGGATGCCTATTTTGCCTCAAGCATAACTGAGTCACATTCTGAGCCAGTTTTCTTCCTCAGGCAAAAAAAAGAATACCTTCAGTCTCTCCCATCATATATTAAGTTGTGATAATTAAATGAATGCAGTGCCTCACCTGAATTTTTATCTCCTACATAACCAGCAATAGTGATCCCCAGTCCCTGTGCATTTTTGGTCAAGCTCACATCAAATGCATCAGCCTCCTCTTCCTCACTGCCCTGTGAAAAGATCAAAAGCTTCATGAGAATATGTTTTAAAAAGATTAATAACTTCATCAAAGCACAATGTTATTTATGTGGTGAGTCACTGAAATTGAGTTGTATTCACAATGAAATGACTGCAAAGCACTGATTTGAAATGCCTTGAGCCTAAAATCAGTTCTGACTACCGAAGTTCGAGTCATAGATGATGGAACATTCTATCGTCTTTTTATTTTGTTCATGCAATCTAAATAACAAAAGATGGAAACTGAAAGGGAAATTAAAAAAAAACCTTATACTAAATATTATCATACAGTGTAGTGTTAATAATGTATGTAGAGATGTAAATCTGTTTAAGGATGCTTTGTTATACAATATACTGTTGAATATATATTTCTGGCTTGTAGTAGGCAGGTAGTCTCCTCTACCTGCTGTTCAGTGACAGTTGGGAGCTGCACAGACATGACAGCAGAGGGAGTCTCCTCCACGGGACCCCTGGTGACAACCAGCTTCACTCTGTTGCCACACTGCCGGAGGACCTGGGCCACCTGTTCGCTGCCCATACCATACAGGTCAGTGTCTCCAATTCTTAAGATGTGGTCCCCACTACGAAGGCGCCCATCCTAAGGTTAAAAAAAAAAAAATCATGTTTGTGTCTTTAAAGATTACAAAATACACACACACACAAACCAGACTCTGGGAAAAATAGGGATTTGTCAATGCAATTACCTGATCAGCAATGCCTCCAGGGAGTATAGTTTTGACAATAACTCCTGTAGTCTTTCCTCCAACAATGCCAAAGCCAAGACCAGTTCCATCGTTCACCAGCTCAATTGTCTCCACGTGCTGCCACTGAAAACGGTAAGTGTGACTCAGTGTAAACGGGTCATAGTTGTATCTAAAAATCAATCTGCTTAACTAAGATGTGGTATCAGGATCCTATTTGTGTAGAAACTAAATTGTTGTCCAGTTTAGTGACAGGAAAACTTGAAATTCTCTGCCGTAACCTCACTTTGTAATTGTGTTACTGAAAACCTTCGAAGTAACATGCAAAATAAAATGTAGTGCATACCGCACTGGATTTGGCTGACAGTGTACTGGCAGCAGAAGGGGTGCGGGACACTGCGGGACTGGTCAGCTGAGGTATTGGCCCTCTAGCCACTGTGAGCTGCACCCTCTCCGACGCGCTCTGCAGGATGCCTATAGCTTGCTGGTGGGTCACTGTCTGATCCAGGGGCTGGCCATTGATGGCTAAGATCTGGTCAGCTTCTTTGAGCTTCCCATCGCTTTCAGGTTCGCGACCATGTATCACAAAGAGAACAAACAGCACTTCCTGGTGTTAGAGACACTAGTCACGTAATCATTCTCCTGCAAATTGCGGGATCAAAATGTTATATTTGACTTTTATTTTACTCAAAGGTAAATTAAAGTAATACTGTATTGTAAGACATTTTTAAGTAATGTTCAACTGACAAGCAGTTGCAACAGGCTGTAAAGCTTAAACATCTTATCTAAATATAACCATAATATCCTTGGATTAAAAAAGTCCATAATAATATGTCCAAAACGGACTTCTCTAATCCTATATTGGAAAAGTAAAACAATTGGAGGAATGTTTCTACGTTTTACTTCTTGGAAATTGTGATTATTAGATTCTGGATTCTTTGGAAGACAGCATCTTGATTGTTACGTACCAGTGAGCAACACTTCCAGGTTGAATTTCTTGAATAAATATGCCAAGCTCTCCACGGTTTTCGCTTTTAAGTCCCACCACACTGAAGCCAAGACCTCCTGACACTGGTTTTTGTAGTTCCACATGTGTCACATAGCGTCCCTGCTCCATAAAAGATACAAAGCATCAAAGCCACAGGCAGGTTTTAGAAGTCTATCTGATGTACTTCAAGAGCTCCATCTATAGTACCTGTCTTTTTTTTATTATTTCCATTTTCAATATCTATTTTATTTTTGGTTGAATTGAGTAAATTCAAATATGGGACCATAGATAGATGGATAGATGGATAGATAGATAGATAGATAGATAGATAGATAGATAGATAGATAGATAGATA